ACTTCTATGTTTTTTAGCTGAATTTGATTTTCATTTGCGATTTCTAAGCCAGTGGAAATATTAGCTTGTAATATCATTTTTTGACCGCAAGTATTTCATTGTCATCTATAAAGTTTGTACTTCAAACTTTATTTAAGTATCACATACATGTTCTATAGCATTTTTGCTTAATAAAAATTGGTTTTAAACCCTAAGTGATATAATATGACTATCGAATCAACTTTCATTTCGCATGTTAGTTGATCGTTTCGAGTTACATAAATTGATCTACACACTTTATCACATGTATTAACACATAAACATGATGCTCATGACATGTTTTAGTAAATAATTTACGGTGTAACCCCGTGCAAGGGACAGAGGGGATGCAGGCTTCGGAGACCTGCTCTCCCGACGTCGATGAAACGTCGGCGACAGGATGGGGAAGACGACGGTGGCACAACATAGTGGTAAGAGGAGTAGATGAATTGTCTGTGCTGAGGACGACGCCTCATCCTAATATATACACACGTCGTAGCTATGGTGGGTAATTAGGCGCGCAATCACATCATTAAGATGATTGACTCACCATTAGTCAACCAGAGAAATTAGTGCAATCACCATTAATTATTGCAATAATTGCTTACCAAAATAGGCCAGCGTAATTTTCTCCGTGCATGCAAAAATAGGTCAGCACAATTTTCTCCATGCATGCAAAAATATCGAGTAGCAAAAGAGAGTCGAAGCGAGCGCGCGCGTGTTTCTTCCTTTTCCTCTTCTCATAGCTCCAACTAGTTGGATACAACTCAACTATTTAAGTTGACCTCACTCCACCTAGAGTAGCAATATGGGTCTAAAGTCCCCGATCATACCATACATACGTGAGTAGACCTTTTAGATTTATTTGGACCAGCCTAAATCTTCGAACAGTACTCATCACTGCATTCTTAGTCCAAAATAATGCTCATTCTTGATCCAAATTTAATCCAAGCACCAAAAGCATCCACTATCTCAAATTTTATGCGTTATTATTTTGTTCACTATAGAAAGCACAAATGCAAATCTTGGAAATCTTGAGGGGCATAAGCTACATCAACATGAAGACAACCCATCACAATAATGTATGATAAAGACAAGGTATATTGTTTCTTCAAAAAAAATTAAAGATATAATTAAATTTAGTACATTAGTAATTTAAAGCCATAACCTTTAGAAATGGTTCCAGAAAGATCCAACTACATGAGAAAATATATAAGAATATAAGTTAGAAAAATGTCAAAAGTTAATTGATGGACACACATGGCAATTCTGCCCTTGTGATGCCAGCTAATTTATGTTCATTGCCAAACGGCATAGTAGTATATGCATCTAACGTCAACAAAAGTATATGAATGTAATAAAATTTGAATAATTAATCATGTATCACAACCAAACAGTAGCATCCAAACGAGCCATAATTAAAAAGTTGGACTCGCTAGCACCTGGATGTTCGATCCGGGGCGCTAGCGTCGGACGGTGCTCCCGCACCCATGCCTGAAGCACCTATCCCATTCCATAGGCCGTGTGGGCCCAAGCATGTGTAGGATCACCCCGAGCCCGCTCCGTTTCACGGGACCGCATGCACGCAGCAGCACCACCACCAGCAAGCGCGCGCGGTGACCTATGACGGCGCACTAGCAGCAACAACATGCACTTCCCTGAGATCTACTTTTGAAACATCCAAATGAAACACTTGAAACAAACATCTGAAACACTTGAAACATGCGTGTATAGCCATAGCAACATGTGCAACACCAGATTTACTTTTGAAATATTCAGATGCAACACTTGCAACATACAAAAAAAGATAGATGAACACTTGCAAAAAAACACCTGGAAAACACTTGAAACCCATTGCAAAACATACGCAACATCCAGATAAAATACTTGCAACATATGTGTGAAACATTTGCAACATCTAGATAAACACACTTGCAACATACGTCTGAAAAACAGATAAAACATTGGGAACAGACGCTTGCAATATACGTGTACAAACCATTGCGACAAATGCAACATCTCAATCTATTTTTGCAACATCTATATGAAACACTTGCGACATACCTCTGAAACATTTGAAATGTACACTTACAACATGCACTTTCAGTGCAACATCTCTTTGTTGCTTGGGAGAGCTCATCGGCGTGTGAAGTTCATTAGTGTCGAGCCCATTGGTGGCACGGAGCGACCGGCCAGGGGGTGTGAGAGCCGTTGACCGCGGCGGGCGGAGCGGAGCTGCCCTCCGTTTCTTCAAGCCCAGCGAGGGAGCTTTGCACCGTTGGCGGACCGGCAAGGGACATCGTAGTCTTGGAGCGGACCAAGCATGAGGTAGTTGTGGACCGGCCAAGGGGTGCGATGGGGCGACGGCCAGAGCGCGCAGCTGCCCTCCATTTCTTTGAGTCCGACGATGGAGCTTTGCGTCATCGGTGGACTAACCAAGGGACACCATAGCCTTGGCGTGGACCAAGCAGGGACCAGTTGTGGACCGGTTAGGGGGTGCGATACGGTGGCGGCTAGCCTCGGGGCACCATGGATTACGGACTCCGGGGGCATAGGTGAGGCCGGCGGCCAGGAGAGGAACCCCGCGGTTGCGGTGCTGCGGGAGCACGGTCGTGGTGGAGCATGATTGCGGCGCTGCGATGGAGAGCCTTCTGGAGAATGGAGGAGCAGGATAAGGTCAGAGGCAACTGGACAAGAGGATACGCCAGATGGGCCATTGGGCTGGTGACAGTCCAGACAATTGGACGCCCTGACTAGAGCATTACTGATATTGTTAGGGTTAGATTACACTACTACTAAAAATTTAATGGAGACAGACAAAAATGATTAACCGAGGCGGGCATCGCAACCGCCTCGATCCAAAAAGTCATTGTAAATGGATCTTTTCCGAGGCGGTTCAAATGCCCACCTCGGTTAATAAAATAAAAAAGAGAAAAAAGCCCGTAGCCCAAACCGGGCCTGGATCCGCCGCCGTTCACTGGGGCCGCGCCGCCGTGTCGTGCGCGTGCGCTCCCTGGAGCCACGTTGGGCCCACACTCGCTGCCATGGTGGTCGAGCAGGCTCCTCCCCGCTGGATCCGCCATCGGCGGGCTCGTCCTCGCCGGATCCGCTACCGGCGGACTCGTCCTCTCCAGATCCGCCACCGGAGAGCTCCTCCCGTCGGATCCGTCGCCGGCGGGCTCGTGCTCGCTGGATCCGCCACCGAAGAGCTCCTCCCCGCCCCGCCGGATCCGCGCTGGGAGAGGGATAGGAAGAGACACCGCTAGAGGCGCCACGCCCCGCCACGCCGCCTCCACTGCGCCGGAGAGCCGAGCGAGGAAGAGGGAGAGGGTGACGGAGAGGGAGGGGGAGCGTTCGGGCACTGGGATGTCGCGAGGAGAGGAGGAAGTCGCGCTCGGACGCTCGAGAGAGGAGGAAGTCGGACAGAGGGTGAGGTGAGGATGAAACCCTAAGTTACCTATTTATACTTGAACACGCCTATTGGGCCTCGGCCCGTCTCCGAAAATGGAAGCGTTATTGGAGGGCCCGTCTCCGTTAATAGATTTTAGAATGTGGTTATTTTTTTAACTACCTCCGTAAATCGATTTTGCGAGGCGATTGATCGTAACCGCTTCGGTTAATAAAAATACCCGCCTCCGTTAATCTCAGGCATTAACCGAGGCTGTTGGATTTTGCAAATGCCTCGGTTAATAAAAAGTCACCACCTCGCAAAAATCATTTGTGTAGTAGTGTTAGGGTAAGATTTGTGTAATTTATATTTTTATTCTTTTCTATTTGAATTAGGATTTATATTCGGCTTACCCATCTATTTGATTAGAATTGCTAGCTATCTAGGTTACCTTAAATCTGTGTCAAAGCCGTGCCATGTCTATATTCATAGAATTAGTTAAGGGAGGTGGTAAGGTACAGTGGAGCTACAAATAGAATGAAATTTTGGCTCTTTAATATGTATTGGATAATTTAGATAGATTTTAAGTAGATAGTTTTTTTTTTTTTGAGGAGAAGTAGATAGCTAACTGGCCGTGATAGACCGATGGTGAAGGGCCACGTTCACCGCGAGACGAAGAGACGAGCATCCGTGAACTCACCCTGTACCCCGTAGTCCCGTACCCGTCGTCTGGGCTTGCCGACAGTCCGTAAGATAACAGCCCATACTTTGCCCTGCTCGCCAACAAGTAAACTCTCACTCGCGCTGTCGCTACTCCGCGGAGCGAGAGGGACAAGTGTCTGCCCTGTTGGCCACTTGGTTGGACAAAATTTACACTAGGCCATCACGTCAAAAATATCTCCAACGAACTGATTCTATCGCATCCACTCATATTGCTCAAAAATCGATAACAGTTGTTGCCCAGACTTTGGCACCAAGGGCACGTACAACGGGAGTGCCGTCTGTGTCCGGTAATTTTTGCATAAAACATCATTGTATGGTGAGGAGACGGTGCCATCGTCGTCTCGTAAGGCGACGTCAAGGGCTCGTGGTCCAAGACCAAATCACCAACTAGAGGACCGTTGTACAGGGTCGTCCTCTCGAGTCGACGACGCGGATCCTGCTCCGACGACGCGGATCCTGCTACGGATGCGCTCGGATCCAGATTTATAGATAGCCAAATAGAGAGCAGCTGTCTGTGGGTAGTATAAACTGTCTGTTTAGCCTAAATCTCAAAAACTTACCGACAACAGTTGTCTGTCCGTTCTAAGTGCCCTAAACAAGTACCACGTAAATTGCCGTCTTTCATTTAGTGCCGACATCTCATTCATAGCTTTATTGTTTTCTAACGGCAGATATCATGTCTCTCAACCATCAAATCCAAATCCCTTGTAATCTAAAAAAAAAATGAAATCCAAATCCAACCAGAAAAGTAGCTTTCGATCGTTGTAGTGCCCAGCTCTTCCTCTAAATCCTCTTTCGCCTATAAAGCTAGCTGGTAGCTAGTGGCGTCCTCACTGTCTGCGCCACTGACTCACCGCAAAGAAGCTATCCAATGGCAGAGGGCAACAACTCCGGCAACCTTTTCTCCAGCGGCAAGCTGGTCGCGGAGGCCGCCGCGTCGGTGTTCCAGCTGAAGAGCGCGGAGAACGTCGACAAGAAGGAGGTCGCCGGCGCGGCGGCTGACATCCTGCACGCGGCGTCCACGTACGGCAAGTTCGAGGACAAGCCGGCCGGGCAGTACATCGAGAAGGCCGAGGGATACCTCAAGGAGTTCAGCACGGGACACGCCGGCGCCGGCGCCGAGCAGCCAGGCGACGCGATGCCTCCGAAGCCAGCGGCACCGGCGCCGGCGGAGGCGGAGGCGCCCAAGGAGCCGGCGGTGCCTGCGCCGGCAGAGGAGGAAGGCGGCAAGTCGTCGTCGGAGGGGTTTGGCCTCGGCGACGTCGTGAAGGGCGCTGAGCAGCTCGTGGAGAAGCAGGGCGGCGGCGGGGAGGAAAGCGCCGACGGCGCCGCCGGTGGGCTGTTTAAGATGGCCCAGGGCTTCCTCAAGTAGATGGAACTCGATCAAAGCTCCATCCACGCCCTGCTCTTGATTTGCCTGGCCAACGTGTAGCTGTGTCTGTTGTGTAATTAACTTCAAATAATGTTGCCTTCGCTTTGTGTTCTTCAAGTTGTCTGTGTAATAACCGAGAACGTTGTAGCAGTGTGCTTTTCGACCTGTCTTTTGATATAATTAAAAAACTATGTTGTATAAACATTCATACTGCTTTTAGTTTGTCAACTTTTAACAGCGGAACCTTGTGTCCGTACCTCTTTGGTCAAATCCCGTACTTCATATAATGTCCAACGCAAAAGTATTTGACGATCAACATAAATTAAAATAACTTGAGCTATCCAATACAAATCTAATGTTACAGTTTATATGACTCTCCTCACAAGAATTGCAAATGAAAAAGATGTAATGCACAGTTTTGCTTAATGTTTCCAAGTGAAAACACACTCAAAGAATATCGAGTGAACTATATTACCTATTCTTTTCATGAAGGACTCATCTCATCCCATAAACACAAACTTTCATTAAGTAAGGATTAATGTTATAAATTTGAAAGTTGGAATTCATATAAGAGATGCAGAGTCGTCGGGGCCGAGCGTGGGGCCTCGGACGTTGCGGCGGTCAGGAAGCCGGACGGTGGACTTGGGTAGTTGGGCGCGTCAGCGAGTCGAGGCGCAGATGTCGGGCTTTCTCGGTACGCCAAATAGCTATTTTTCCCAAAATGCTCACGCTCGGGCGTCCGTCCATCCCAACCCGAAAAAACGGATCTCCTCACTCTGCGCTCGTCTCCCACTCCACGCCCGTCCGTCGTTCGGCCGTCCACTCGCCCCGCTCCGCCGTGGCGCCTCCATCTCGTGCCGTGGCCCACTCCGGCACGCCGCCGCCGCCATCCCCCGCGGCGCACCCCATCCCCTGCGACGCCTCCGTCCCACGCGGCCCCATGCCCGTCCTCCGCAGCGTCCAGGCCAGGCTACCAGTAGAGGGGAATGTAACACCCCTAGTGTTAAGCTTGTATAATTGCACTTGCATTTCATGAACATGAACATTATTCATCCATTCATGAGCATATATCACATGAAACATGTTATCGAAACCTTGCAACATACTGTATATTTCATGAGTGTTGTTTTTTTATTGTGATATGAATAGTGTGCAACACCCAAGTGCAACTCACTTTAGTGGAACATAGCTAGTTAGTACGATGCAACAAGATCATGAAACATGTGAAACATGACTATGAAACAAAAGTAACATTTCAATTGTTTTTTCATTGTTTCAGTACGTTCAGTGCTTGATTCTTGTGTGACCAATGTGTGGTATGGCTAAATATATTTTTAAACAACTTAGTTATACTTAGAAGGTCATTAGGAATCATGTTCATGTTGATCATTTTTGCCTAATTAAGTTTCCAAGTCATGGTTTGACTTGTTTTGACCTTAGGACTTTTTGGTTTGACTGTTTAAAAAGTGCAACTTAGAGTCTATGCATGCCTGAGCAACCTAAAGCAAAGTGGTAGCAAATTTTATAAGGAACAAAAGTTATTTTATGACCAACTCATGAAAATATGCACAACATGCTCTAAATGGTCCCACAAGTCAGATTTTGGGTCGGGTTCAACACTTAGAAATTTTCTAAGTACGAAAACCGAGTTTTCAGTTTCATGAGCTCGACTTTGGCCTGATTTTACTCTCTGTCCTTTGCGAATTAGACATTGATCTCTAAATGAGTTTTGTAGCTGGTACTTAGGGCTACAACTTGTATCTTGACTGTTTTCGATGTTAACCAACGGTTTAGGAGTTATGGATCGACGAAAACACGCTGTCAGGCCGGTTGTTTGCTCTGCTGTTTGAACTGAATCGTTGCTACAGTGCCGACCGTTTCAGTGTTTCACCGCCGCGTGTATGCCGCGCATCGCTGGTCGCCTGACCGTGCAGGCCACGCGCCGCGGCCGTCTTGGCACCGCTGGCCTCGCCTTAGTCCCCCGCGCCTGCCCGACCAACTCACCCGCTCATTTTTCATTTCCTTCGTCTTCTTCCTTTGTCACCGCAGCAGCCGCAACCATGCCGAGCCGCTCCGCCATAGCCTAGCTCGCTCGCCGCCACAAAAACGCGACTGCCAGTCGGTCTGCAGCTCCGTCGTGTTCCCCTCTACCTCCTCCACCCCTTGGCTGCACTGATTGGGTCTTGGTAAGGGCACATTGGCCATTTCCTCCACCGCCCGCCATGATGGAGTATCGCCGGAGTTGGAGCTCTACGTGGCCAACTGCCACCGAGGCTTCTCGTCCCCTTATTCTTGCTTGGGTAGCACCGTAGCGACCCCCGGTAGCTCATGCCGAGCTCGGTTGAGTCAGTCATGGCTTGCTGTCGCCGACGTCTCGCGCCGGAGCGCTACCGTGCCGCCATCACCGGTGACGAGCCCCCTCTGCTAGGTCTTAGGTCTCGCCGGTAGCACCATTTGACGCGTCTCATCACATAGATCGTGTAGGTGCTGTCGATTTCACCGGAGGAGCCACCGTCGGCGAGCTCGACCATCGTCGCGCCGTCGCGTGTCGTCTCCCCTGTTCTGTGTCAATGACAGGCGGGTCCGGCTGACAAGCGGGTCCCACACGTCAGTGATAGTTTAGTGATAGGCTAGTTCAAATTAACATATTTTCCATGCTGTTTTGTAATAATTGTATCTCCAGTTTTGTAGCTTCAAAAATTGTGAAATAAATTTGGTAGTGTTCCTTAGGAAGTCTAATATTTAGAAAAAAAATATAGTCTTGATACTTACAGTAGAAATTTTGGAAGATTTAAATGGAAATTTGAAATGTGTTTTTGAATGCATGCAAACTTGTTTATTTTATATCTAGAGTTTCTGTGGTCCAAAATTATGAAATTTTATGGGTAAGCTATTCTTGCTTAGTATAAGCTCTGCTAAAAATTTGAGAGTCATTGTATGTGTGGTTTTTGAGTTATAGATTTTCATTTTATCATTGATTGATACTTCTGTAAATTTTTGTAAATTATCTAGGAATCCTATGACCATGAAATTTTGTGGGGAGTATCCCAGTACCTTAAGGATGTTAGGAAAAAAATGAAATCTATCGCTTGGCACTTTTAACTAAGGTTTTCTATTTATGCCTTTTTAAGCAATTATGCCTTTTCATTTTTGTGTAGGCTATTCTACTTATCGAAATGCCATGAAAATTTTATGGTAGTCTACTTAGAGTAGTACTATGCTACTGTAATTTTCTCAGATTTTTATGAACACAAGAAATATATGTTGCTGTGTAGCCCTAGTTTAAAATGAAATCAAATGATCTTCTTTAATGCGAGTTTAGTTAATAATGTTCTCTTTGGTGTATCTTTGTAGCATCTTAGATTGCTGTGGTGGTTTGGCATGTTAGTACAGTGGTTGTCGTAGTAGATAGTAGTACATGTTCTTGGATGATGTTGACTACCTTGTAGAAGAGCTTTGCTACTACTGTGTCCAATGAAGTTAAACATGGTCATCTACATTTCATGCATCATGATCGTTACATGTCATCTCTCCGATGCACCTATATATTAGCACTTATACATCTGCATCATACAGGATCGCAGGAGGAGTTGCTAGTAGCAGTTCAAGAAGAGCAGACCGGGACAGATCCACAAGAAGTCCAGACACAGGAGGTGCCAGAGGAAGAGGAGCAAGGAGAGGACTTGCCGGAGTGCGTGGATCACCAACCTAGTTCGTTCGAATGAGGCAAGCCCTGGAGCATTCTAAGTCTCCTACTTTATAAAAGCAATTCTTTCTATATATATGGGTTTATATATTGTTGCATTAAGTTGTAGGAGTTGATTGAAACCGTTGATGCATTTATTACTATCCTTGCCTACCTTATTACCTTTTACCCTGTTAGGTCAGGATCGAATAACTGCTTAGCCTTGCTTAGACCGGTAGCGATCGGTGATACCCGGTCACCTACATTATAGGTGGTTACTAGAAGAGATTGGCTATGGAAAGAATGATATCCTGGAATTAACCATATGTGATGGAAAATTGGAGACCAGACGGAATAGTTGGAGGCAACCAGACAGGGTTCTGGGGTGCTGTTAGTTTCCGTCTGTGTCGATTAAGGACCGATCGTTGCTCGTCCCTCTTGTCATGTTGAACGCATGCCTCACATTTAGCTGGCCGAATAAAATACCTTTCGACTGCGAAGCTAGTGGCACTATTCGGGCCGGGATCTACACGAGTGCGCGTATTGGTGCTAATGGGGGTATGACAGGGGCGCGAAGAGTGAGCCCAAGGGTAGGTGTGACCTGATTCCTGGCAGTCGGGCGGTCCCTGGGTACTGCGGCTCTAGATTATCCCGCGGCTACCTGAAAAATGTCATTGGTGATCTAAGCTACCCTAACATGGGAAGCATGGTTTGTGTGAGGAATAAATCACCAGCTGGTTAGGAATCGATTCGAATCGCCATCGCTCCTGGATAGTGAGCACTTGACTCGAGCTACGGCATCGTAGTAATTATTATGGAACAAATGATGGTTATTTGGATGATGTGAGTTATGCTAAGGCTAAATTGGTAACTGGATGTTATTGGTTAATCATGTGATTGCTATAGTACAGGTGCTTACCTAGATGGATAGGTTATAATAAAGATGATGCAAAGTACTTAAAATAGTTTATTCATGATAACTTATGCTTTCGCAAAAGAGTCAGCTAGCCCACTAAAGAAAGCCTTGCATAATCCTTGGTGTCGTTTTATTTTGGTTTACGACGGGTAAGTCTAGCTGAGTACCTTCTCGTACTCAGAGCCTTGTTCCCATTGTTGTTGCAGATGGTCAAATGTACTACGGCTATTGCATTAACTGCCTGTATCCGGCGATGGGTGACAACTAGGACCAAGGGCAAATGGTCACCCCGTATTTCTCATCTGATGCTTTTGTTGGAAATGACTACCTACTGGCACTGTATCTGAATCAAAAGTGTGTGTGTGGCTTTAAAACTATTTGCTTCCGCTATTTCAGTTC